GGGGGGAAGAGCGCCAGGGCAGCAGGGCGGCGTGTGGGTCCCCGTGTGGACGGTGTGGTCACTGGCTTGCGCCTGCCTGCCTTTCAGAGAGACTGTCTTCTTGGTGTGTCAGGCTCGCTCTGGTCTCTGCCGGGCGGCAGGGCTGCTGGTCGGGGGCCGCATGTCTTGGGCCTGGGCTGGAGGGGAGGGGTTGTGGGCACACCTGCCCAGGTGGACACGTGCTCTTTCTTCCATGCAGGTGTGCTCCCCAGAAGGGGGGCCGCTCCCAGCCAACCCCTGGGACCAGAACAGCCCGGCCCAACGCCAGCAGCAGCTCCAGCCCAGCCAGCCCCAAGGGTCACCCCCAGCCCCGTGTCAGCGCTGCCAGCCCCACCAGGTGCTCCCGGACCCCGGGCAGCACTGCCAGCCCCAGCGGTCACTCCCGGGTCAGCGCAGCTGGCCCCATCGGTCACTTCTGGGTCTCAGACAGCCTTGCCGGCCCCGGCGGTCACTTCTGGGCCCGGGTCAGTCCTGCCAGCCCCAGCAGCTGCTTCCAGCCCCAGGTCAGCACTGCCGGCCCCAGCAGCCACTCCTGGCCCAGCCCTCCCGACCCCACTGGGTTCTTCCCAGGCCCCGGCCCCGCTGCCGGCACCTATCCTCGCTCGCGCCGTGGCACCGCTGCCGGCCACTGCGCTCGCTCCTGGTGCCGTGCCCCCGCTGCCGGCCACTGCTGTCTCTCGTGGCCCCTTGCCCCAGCTGCCGGCCGCTGCGCTCCCTCCTGGCCCTGCGGCTGCGATGCCGGCCAGTGAGGTCCTGGGCGGTCCCGTGTCACCGCCACCAGCCAAGTAGGGCGTCGTCAGGTCAGCGTGACCGGCCGCTGCGCTCCCTGCTGGCCCATTGCCCGCGGTGCCAACCCCCACGCTCACTCCTTACTTTGGGCCCACGCCGCCGCCCTCCCCGCTCCCTCCTGGGCCCCTGCCAGTGCTGCCAGCCTCGCAGACCCCTCCTGGGCCACCCCAGCCGTCCTCGGCGGCCCTTGCTGGCCCTTGATCAGGACCAGCAAGTAAGCAAAGTGCCCAAGCGGCCCAGCCTGCTGGGCCCTGGACAGCCCCGCCTACCTAAACGGCCATTCATGGTCCCGGGACGGCCCCACTCAGCCAAGAGACCACTCATGGGCGTGGGTCAGCCCTGTCAGCCCCTGAGGTCACTTCTTGGCCCTGGACAGCCTCGCAAGCCCCGGCCGTTACTGCCAATACCAGAGCGGCCGTCGCTCCTCGGCCGGCCCACCCGCCGCCCACTGCTGGGACACCCATGCCAGCCTCGGTGGTCACTTCTGGATTTGGGTCAGGCCCACAGACCGCATGTCTCACTCCTGGCCCCGGGCCATCCCTGCCGACCCTTGAGGTCTCAACGGACTCGATCGTCCACTCTGGGGGTGGCCCGCCAGGCCCCCTATGTGAGCCCTGGGGCCTGACCCCCAGCAGGACCCTCTCTGGATATACCCTCCGGACCTCACTGGCGGCCGGGCATCGGAGGGCCCAGGTTGCACCGAGCTGTCTGCCGTCGTGACTGAGCCCGCCAGAACCGCCGTGCGCGAAGAGGAGATGGCTCCAGCCTCCCCCTGCCCACGTCTGCTCAGGGCACCCTGCACTGAGCACTCCCTGTGGTGCGTGTGTCCCTGAGGGGCAGCTCCCGGGGCTCAGAGCCAGGGTCCCCAGCTTCTTCCTGTGCCTCTGAAATGCCAACACTGTTGTCACTGATCCTCCACTGCGCCCTGTGCCTGGGGAGTGAGAGAATGTGTGTGAGTGTGAGATAGTGTGTGTGTGCTCGCTCGTGTGTATGATGCGCCTGGTTCCCCCACCCCCACCCCCCAGACAGTGGGGACCCGCTGGGGAGTGAGAGAGAGTGTATGTGTCTATGTGCCTGTGTAAGATAGGGTGAGATGATATGTGGGGGGGCCTGCTGGTGGTGGGTGGCTGGCAGGGCTCATCCAGTCCCCCAGCTCGGCACCCTGTTAGTTAGGGTTGTCCCTGGACTCTGGCCCCGTTCCCCGGAGTGCCCACCCTCAGGTCATGGCCTCGCCGGCCCGGCCTTATCTCAGGGCAGCCTCATTGGCCATGGCGCCACACGCCATGGTGGCAGCCTCCCAAGTCGCCCTGTTTTCTGGGCGGGGTCCACGTTCCCCATGCCATGTTGGTTCTCAGGCCCAGGCAGGCATCCCTGCCTCCTGGGCCCCTCCCCCCTGCCCACCTCTCCAAGGACCTACGCACACAGGCCTAGCAGTGGGGACAGCGGCAGGTTTACAGGCGTCTGGTGGTCGCCCCACCCCACCCCCGCTCGGGAACACGGGTTTATTTTTCTGATTAAAGGAAATAAAGAGTCCCGTGTTGTTACTTACCATATGTGCACCTGCGTCTGTACCTTGGCCGGCGGCGTCTGTGTCGTGCACGCAATCCGTCCCGGCGTGCAGTCTGTGCCTCAGACCTAGGGCTGGTCGGAGCACTCCCCCAGGGACTGGAAACTGAGGTAGTTTGAAACTCTCACAAGAGGGTGGGTTACAGGTGTGGTGCCAGGGGCACCCCTAGGACAGCTGGTCCAAAGTCCAGGAGTATGATGACCACAGTCACCATTGGGTGGTGGGCAGGGTGTGGAACGCCCCAAGAGTGGCCAGAGCTAGATCTGGTTGGGGGCATCCTGGGAGGGATTGGAGCAGGGCAGAGGTGGCCTGGTCTGTAGATGCCCTGGCTGCCTCTGGCTAGGCAGATCCGGGCTGTGCAGGTAACATCAAGACAAGAAGCTGGGGGGGCAGGAGGGAGGCCCTTGCACTGAGGGGCACTTGTCAAGCAGCTCCATGCTGAGCTGAGCCATGAGGGACAGCGTGTCACCCTGGAATGTACTAGAACCCTAGACCAGGACAGTGACATTGGCACTTGGATGCCCCATGCCCGGCCCCTCCGCAGAAGCAGAGGAGACCCCACCTTTACTCATCAGATGAGGAAGAGGCCAGAAAGAAATTGGGGCGGGGTGGGGGGGGTCACCTTTCACTCTGGCCTCCATCAGCCCCTCGCCACAGCCAGGCAAGTCTTTTGCTTCCACCTTCCACGTCTCCTCTAGACTGGGCCTCACAGGAATTGGGACAGAAGCCAAGTGCATTGTGATGGTGCCACATCCAGCTGGCAGGGCCACCAGAGACCTAATCATAATCGAAGCAAAGTCTAAAGCCACCAACAAAAGATGGGCACTTAGAAAGCTCAGAAAGAAGAGGAAGGTAATCCTAGAGACCCATGCAGGGACGAACGGGATGCACAGGAGGAAATAATACAAATGTCGTTTCTGGGAAACCACTCAATGGAGAAGCCCTGTGTACCAGCTTTGAGGATGAGAGGACACTCCATTCTAGGTTCTACAGACTTGACAAGTGTAGCATGGGGTCAGTTTTATGTCAATAAAATCATCACCCTACATGGATTGGACTTGTTCCTTAAAATATATACCAGAACTGACACTAGATGAGAGACCCTCTGTGAAGACCCTTTGGCAGTGAAGCACTTGTGCTGATGGTCCCTAAAGCAGGATAAAGTGTAGTAAATGCTCGCAGCCCCAGGGGGTGGAACCCCCTCCTCTTGGAGAAACACTGTCTGAGAAGTGGAATGTGTTATCTGATGGCCATTTCCCCCTCAGGTCAAGCTGCAATCACCTCCCCCAAGCCAGTCTGACAAAGTCCTTTGTGTCCACGGTGCTGCGCTTCTTGGTCAGCATGTAACAACTTGGTGAACTGGCCATAACTCCATCTTGCGTTTCTCCCTTTCTTTCAGGTGGGGGAGTTGAGCAGATACAGTAACTTGCCCCAATATCAGCACGGAGGGCGGCTCTTGAGTTACAGCCTCCCTGTTGGGTGGCCTTCCCTGGAAGACAATGTCTGTCTGTCTCCTCCAGTAAAAATGCTGGAGGGTTCTCTCTCACCTCAGGGCAAAGTCCACACTTCCTGATAGCCCTCTCCTCTGGGTGAACACACCCTTCCAGCCACTGACCACCCTCTGCGGGATTCCCCTGTGCCCCGCCCTGGTTCTCAGCCTGTCTGTTAGCTCATCTGGGTCCTGGCTGAGCTTGTAGCCTGTGTGGGCCAGAGGGCTGGTTGTGAGGATGGGCTGGGGCTTGGAGACCCTTCTAGGTTAGGCAGGTGGAGGAGAGCAGGCTGCCTGATCCTACTAGTTTCTCACTGCCTCAGTTTCTCGTCTGCAGCATGGGAGAGGGTTTTCTTCACATAAGGGGCCTTCTCAGGACCAGGATGGTGACAGCTGGCGTGGTGGCTCATGTGTGTGTCAGGGTCAAGCTATGATCGTGGGGTTCTCAGTGACTGAGTTTGGGGGAGGGGAACCCCTTTTCTTCAGGTAAATGTTTGCAGCCCTGCCCCCAGCTTTACCGGTTTGAAGGTGTCCCGACATCAGGGTGGCTGCTGCCCATGCTGTAGAGTGGTGTGGGTAATGGCAGGCTCAAGGGGAGGTGGGACAAGAGTAAATGGCTGTCTGTTTTGAACACCCCCCCACCCACCCAGGTTACCTGGGCCACACACAATGGGGTCTCAGAACTGAGGGCAGTGGGCAGGGTCCTAGTCACTACAGGGCTCAGAGGCTGTGACCTGGAATCCACAGTAGGGAGAAAACTGGGTGGGGTGCCAGGGTGTGGACCGGTCAAGCTCCTAGGCAGGCTCCTGTGGAGAGGCCAGCCTGGGTGGGCGTTGGCTTAGAAATAGGAGGCTAAGTCCATGGGCCCTCAACATACTAAGTGCTACTCTGCTGAGGAGGGGCTGCTGTCCACCACCTGTAGGAAGCGCTCCCCTGGGCACAGCTGCAGCACACCTTTAGGCCAGCAGGCACTACCCACTCCATGCCCAGTTGGGGATGGGCCGGGGTTCTTGATAACCCAGACTCTTACTGGTGCTGACCCTGTTGGGTGGCTGCAAACAAAAAACAAACATGGAGGGGCATCTGAGGGATGGGTGGGGTTCTTGGGGGTAGTCAGGGAGGCCTGGGGAGCCAGCATGGGAACAAAGCCTGAACAACTGTGGGCACCCTGGAGCCCTGGCAGGAGGTGGTGGGGCTGTTGGCCCCTAGTGGGGATGCCCCAGGGCCCATGCCTCCCCCACCCCCACTCCCCCCTATGTGGGTGCCAAGCAGGTTTCCTCATCGGGCCACTGGGGGGAGGGCCGCCTGTTCCGGTGTGGTTTCTGCGCTCCCTCCCTAAGTCCATGGGAGACAAGTTCTGGATGAAACGCTTGCCCTGGGCAGGGTCCCCCGGTTCTGGTTCTAACTTGGGCGGGGGTGCTGTGAGACCCCCTCCCCTCCCCCTGGAGTCCAAGCCAGTGCTGAGCTCGCTCGTCCACCTGGGTTAAGGTGAGCGTCTCCGTCAAGAGGAGGCCAGCGGCAGCAGGTGACAGTGCCCAGACACAGGGCTTCTGTGCCCCTGCTCCCCTGTCAGGTCTCGGGCACGCCCACTGTGGTCCAGACTGTGGGCTGGGGAGGCCTGGAGCCCCCTGCCCCAGTTGGCCAGCCACGCACACCTGTCTCCATATGGAGGGGCCAACTCCATACGGCAGTAGACGTAGCCTGGTGTTCCAGCTGGGCCTCCCTGCTCAACACTGCCCTCCTCCATCACTGCTGGCCCTGCCCACAGCTGCAAACCATACCCTAAGACCATCTTCTAAGCTGTAGTGGGTTGAGGGCCCAGCAGGGGTGGGCCCTGAGTGAGGGTCTGGGGTGAGATGACCACCAAGTGGAGCTCTGGGCTGTGGTGACTCCAGGCAGGGGTCTAGGGGATGCTGACCCATAGGCTTGGGTGTGGACTGTGGGTTGTGGTGGCCCCAGGATGGGCTGTGTGGTTTGCTGTCCTCTGGCTGGGCTGGATGTATGGTGGCCCATTGGTTGGCTGGGCTGTGGATTGTGAGCTAGTGACCCCCAAGCTGGGCTGTAGGCTCTGGGCTATGGTTGCCCTTCGGCTGGGGTGTGAGTTAAAAAGTGTGGTGACCCCCCCCCAGGCTGGGCAGTGGGCTGTGATGACCCCTCGCTAAAGTGTGGGGTATAGTAACCATGAAATGGGAAGGGGGGTGGGGAGGTGGGCCGTGATGACACCTGGCTGGCTGGACTGTGGGCTGTGGGGACCCCAGCTGACTGGGTTATTGTGGGCTGTAGGGATCCTGGCTGACTGGTTTTTTGTGTGGGTGTGGGGACCCCAGCTGACTGGGTTATATGCGGGCTGTGGAGACCCAGGCTGTCCGGGTAATGGGCTATGGTTACCCGTGCCCTGGGCTATGGGCTGTGGGCTATGGTGGCCCAAGTTAGCTGAACTCCTGGCTGTAGTGACTCCCATACTGAGATGTGGGCTGTCAGGACCCAGGCTGGCTGGGCTATAGGTTATGGGGACACACACACACACACACACACACACACACACACTCATACACACCACCCAGTACTCTCCCAGCCTCAGCAGCAGGACACAGGCCGCCCTGCCCCGCCCCGCAGCCAGTGGAGGTACTGACCCTCTTGTCTCCTTCCCCAGCTGAAGGCTGCGGTGCCCAGAGGGGGCGGTGTGAACAGTGGTGATGACAGTGGGCACGAGGTCACCAGCTCCAGGCGCAGCAGCTCCCAGGACCGGGACCGGCTCAGTGAGGATGTGAGTGTGGCCGGCCAGCCAGGTGGGAGCGGAGTGGGTGGGCCACCGGCCATGAGAGGACGTGCCCTCTGTTGAGAGCCTGGGACTGAACAGTAGTAATCAGAGCCCTTGCCTGGCCCAGTGGCCAAGTGTACTGTGGGGCAGACACTTGGGGCTGTGCTGGGGGCCAGGGAATGTGGACTGTCCTGGGGACAGGAATTGATGGGTCCTCTCGAGGGACAGGGACTGAAGGGCTATTTGGGGTCAGGGATTGGGGGTCTTGCAGGCCAGCTCAGCCTCTGCCTGTGCCACCCATGCTGTGTGACTCTGGCCTTGTGTTAGCCCCACCCCCACCCCTCTGCAACCTGCCTAGCCCCCAGCCCACTGTGAAGGGGTCGTCCTTTGGAGCCATCAGTCAGGAGGGCAGCACAGCTGGACACTTCCCATGGAGCTCACCTGGACACTAGTAGGGGTCGCACTGGGGAAGAGGGCGAGGGTCCCGAACCCCAGTTTGCAGTCGGAGGCGAGGGAGCAGCGGTGGTGGGGAGACGGAGACTGAGCTCCAGTTCTTGGTCCGGCGCCCACGACCTGCAGTCCCTCCCTGGATCTGGCTGAGCTGTACTTTCCTCAACCGATCTCACCGTCTCCACCCTCAGCCCCCACCCCCAGCAGCCTCATGTCGGGAGAGTCGGCCTGGGGTGCTGCACTGCCCCTCCAGGGGCCTGGCATTTCATGAGAGCCCACA